ATCAACTTACCAAAGCAAATTTCGTAAGCTCGTCCATCATCATAGGTACGACAAATATTTATTGTACAATAGACATACTTTTTTAACAAATGTCTGTTTAAAATCCTTGAAAAAAAAACCAGAGGTGAAGGTAGCAAAGCAAACTTCAAAATATAACCATTCTTTTATCACAACACAAGCCCCAAATACAAAAGAAAATAGAAAAATCACCAGCTGACAAGTGACACATCAGGTGGTAGCGTTCTTTCGGACCTTAAATTTGAAACATGTTCCATTGAACAAACGGATCATGATCTCGGAATCATGATTCGAATATATTGCGAAAGAATGCGGCTTAGAATGACTCTAGAAGAATGAGATGACAATGACATGACTATTAATCATCAAATATTCTTTGTTTGACATCATACAAAACAAGTGCTTGCTCTAGCAACCAGAAAACAATTTTTTTTTTTCGGCCAAAGTATTCAAAATTTGCAGTTGCCTCCAAAAAGAAAAACCCCAAAAAATCCGAAAACTAACTAGTAGACCCACAAAATATTTTGAAAGATATGGACTGCTGTCCTTCCGTCTGCTGCCCGCCAGTATGCTGTGTCCCTTGTTGTGCCCCATCATGCTGCATTCCATGCGTGGTACCCTACGTATATGTGCCCTGCTGTGTGCCTTGTCCCCCTTGCTGTCCACCATCGAGTAATTGCTAGGAATTGAGACACAGACACTGAAATAGTATCAGTGGTATCAAATGTGTATTTTGTATGGTGTCTTAATATAAAAATCATCTGAAAAAATAAAAATATGTTTCATCATAATTGAAATTGATGTTTTTATTTTTGTTTTAGGTCTTTATCCTATTCAGCCTTTCGTTGCAAAAGGCAAACAAGGTTAAATACATTATCTATGGAATTTATTTTTATTCATAAAAATTTGCTGAGAAAAATTTTAACTTTCAAAAAGGTCAGTGAAGAGCTTCTTTTTAGCCCTGGCTATGTTTAAAAGTATGTTGAAGTCTATGATACTTTTCATAAAATGTAACTTGTACTTTAGTGCATTCACAAAAAATATCAGACTTGGTAAAATTTTCATTTGGATTATGGCACTCTGAGCTGGATCTGACTTAAGAGAACAGGACAATCTATTAAGCTACATCCTCAATCAATCTGGTAGCGAAGTAGGAGAGTTGAATAGATTAGGAATAGCAGCTTCCACATAGACATTTCTATAATTTTCTATGTTATCTTTTTGACCACTTTTGAAGATGGGCACAATATTACTCAACCTTCCAGATTTCAGGATAAATGATTGGAGTGATTTATTCTATAAAATTTGCAAAGGTGGCATGATGGTGCATACACATTGTTTTAATACAAAATCTGGTATACCATCAGGACCAGAAGTTAGTTTATTTGGAAGTTCAGAGATTGCATTGAAGATGTCATTCTTTGAGATCTCATAGCACTGTATGTTATTACTTATATTATTGTCATGAGTATCGGGTGTTAGGTGTTGTAAATGTTGATTTTTTGAGTAAACTGTTTGAAAGAATTCTTTATTAGCTATCTCTTGACCATTAGATGCTGACTGATTTCCATATGACAAAGTACTGGGCAAATTATGATATGATCTTTTGTCATTAATATACCTCCAAAAAGATTTTGGGTCATCTCTGAGATTTAAATCCAAACCTCTGATATAATTTTGAAAGCACATGTCAGAATGTTCTTTGCAGTCTGAACATAACTGAGAAAATCTAAGATAATTAGCACTAGTTCGGTCTTTGATATAAATAGAGAGAGCTTGCTTTTTCTGGAGTGCCAAATTACGAGGATCAGCAGAAAACCATTTGGGAAAAGAAGAAGTTTCGTACTTTTTGAGAGGAATAAAATAAGCTATGCCAGTGAATAAAATAGCATAAAAAATATCAGCTGCTACATCCACATTAATGCTGTTTGTACCAACCTCTTATGATGCATACTCGACTTTATAAGTGGGTCACTAGCCTTTGTAATATTCAACTTACTTACATTTAAAAATACTAAATTTAAAAAAAAACATTTCTTTTATTTGGTATTGCATTATGTTGAAGTAATTTCAAGTAACTAAAAGACTGGGCCACATCTATAGCTATATCACCCCCAGGGGGTCAATTCTTGAATATTTTCGCATACAAAAGTTGATTCGAATTTGAATGACAGCAACATAAATTGAATAGGGAACGTTCGAAATTATTTAAATTTTCGTATGCGAGATTATTCAAGAATTGGGTCCCAGGACGTTGCACAGTCATCCCATACTCATCATTTGACCAGACTGCACTGGGTAGGTTGTAGGCACCAAACACGTTTTTTGTTGGGTACTTTTGACATATGTGTTCGACTGACTGACAATGCCAGTTGTACTTCTCCCGAGAAGATTGAGGAGGGATGTAGACACCACCTATTATACATTTACCTCGGTTAATTTCACACTACAAAACATTACTCAACTCGGTTTTTGAATCCTGATACACTGAGCTAGTATTTTGTTGTTGGCAAATATTAAGACGCACCCCCACTGGATTTACTGCTAGCCATTGCATCTCTGTCAGTTCTGAATATGCTGAATCGATCACATTTGATTTCGCTATCTGAGAATTCATTATTTAGGTTACTCTAGACCCAGACAATAATATCATACATGCAGTAAGCCATATTTTTAAGAAGATCTGAAAGTTTGGTTCTCAGACCACCTACATTTTGAAAATAGACCTGTAATGGGGTAGTTACAGTGTTTTTTTGTTGTTGTCTTGTTTCTACGACAGGTAGGCCATTGCCGTATCTTATCAAGTTATCTTCACCTGCAGCCTTTCTACTACTACTAGTTTACCAATGTGAATATTATTTATATCCCATTTTAATAATATTTCCAGTTACTTATAATTGCTTAACTAATTATTTAATAGATTCTGAGAACTAATTTGTAGTATGACCTGCATTGTGAGTTTTCAAATAAATAAATTAATAGAGCTAGAGCTGTATAGATTTTGTTTGAATATAATTTTAATGAAAAATACCTGCATGAGATCGAGTTCAAAATGAAACAGTTATGATATAAGTAGTCTTCTATGTGAGAATCCTTCTTTTTGTTGTCCTGCCAGGGCTTCAAAGCAAATCCTAAACGAGCCAAAATGTACACTATTACAATTGTGTGTGGTTTGGTAATTCATTAATCTGATAATATTGTTGATATAACCTCACTGAACCTGGCTAATTACCATTTTAGATAATTGGTTGCAAAAATTCAGTTGATAACTGAATAAGAAGATATTGGTCTATAATAATAAAAACATGCACCTAATTAAATATACAAAATGTAATTTGTATTATTATCAATAACACGCTCTAGTTCATAGAATATTTTGTTGTAGAGTCTTCCTGAAAGCATAATAAAAGGAAACTCACTTTCCACAATTGATTATTCATTTATCATACATTAATTAGAAATGTTTCTTTTGTTTCAAATTGATTAAATTTGTATGCATATCTAAAAATAGGGAAGATTGTATGACTTCATCTCTTGTTAAAAGAATAATAGAAAGTATCTGGTAAAAGTTTGTATTTTTTCTATAGGCAAATGTGCTATTGATGATATTGTGTAATTTAAAATGTGCAAACCATTCATTTTATTTCTGAACTAGATCTAGATATGTAGGTAATTATTTTTACTCTAGAGATGGGTGACAATTGATTAGTTCTAAGATTTCTAAATGAATGAACCCCTACGTCGTTGGCGCACAAATATATAAATAACAATAAAACTACAGCAGTGATGTTTCACTTTCTAATTTTATTAGGCTCACTGGCTGAACAGCTAATTTTTAATTGCACACATGTTTGAAAAAAACCTTTATAGTTCAGTACTCTTGGTTTTCACTAGAAGAAACCTTCCATGAAAAGTTTTATTGCAACAATTACATATTATGAATTATTGTTATGGTTGTATATCTGAAGATAGGTGATTTTTATCTATTGTGAGGATTTAAATTTGTGTTTTTACAGGTAAGATTACCTAATTTTTTGTATATAAAAATTCAATCTACAAATTTTGCTTACTTGAAATTCAACAAAGTAGTTTTTACTAAATATAATTTTGCCTAATTATTGAGTAATAATTATTCAAATTGGGTACAAGTGTTGAGTATAAAATATTTTAAACCAAATCTAATAAATAGCAACTGTATCTATTATTTTCCACCCTTCTCGATACTATAAAACTCTGGCCTCATTCTGACAAATAAAAGCCTTTTCCCTTTTAATCAGCAAATTAATGAACGTTAACTTTTGCCTTTCCAAAGGCACCGAAGTTATAAAACAAACATTTTTATTGACCCAGGTTTTTATTATTTCTCTTAACTGAAATTGATATGTGGGAACCCATTAGAAACAGGAAGGCATGACCTGGGACATAAATCACTTTTATACATGAACAGGGAAGTCTGAGGGTGTTTATGTGTTGGGTTTGTTGGACAGGCACGTTTATTATTTGAAAATGTTTCTAATTAGGACTAAGCAAAATCGAACTTATTCCTTCTAATAAACCTAATGGAATTCAAATATTTATTTATCAGGAAATTATTGGCTGTTATATTGGACATGTTACCGCCCTAGATAATCGACTATTAATTTATCATTGATAAAAAATATTTTGATGAATTATTTATAAATAATACCGAGTAGATAGCACTAGTAACAGACTGAAAATGCCAGTGTAGAAGTTTCCAACAAATTTAACTAACTCTAGCCATACATGCAAAGGAACGATTTACCTACTTCTGCAATTATGTTATCTTTATCCACCTAGGTAATGTTTCTCTCCTAACATTAAAACACTTTTAAATGCAACATAGTTTGCTTCATTATGCCAAGGCTCAATCATTTTAATTTATGTGCTACGTTCTAAACATTGGTACAGGAGCTATAAAAAAAGTGATTTTTTTCTTAGTTGAATTTCGTTTTTTTTTTCAGGCAAGAATAGCCTTTCTTCAAGGAGAACGCAAAGGTCAAGAGAACCTCAAAAATGACCTAGTGCGTCGAATTAAGATGCTCGAATACGCCCTCAAGCAAGAAAGGGCGAAATTTCACAAACACAAATATGGTACCGAGTTACAACAGGGCGACATGAATCCGCCTGTTATGGATGATAGTGGTGAATCTCAGCTTGATCCTGATCAGAGCTACTTACCGGTTGGCAATTCTACTTGGAAGGATGGTAGAAAATTGCTGCGACAGTACTTACAGGTTAGTGAACCTACTATTGATTATTTATTAACAATGATTTTTCATTTTTCTTTTCTAGGAAATTGGTTATACCGATAGAATAATAGATGTTAGATCAACCAGAGTACGCGCTCTTTTAGGATTAAATAACAACCATCCTGATCAAGAGGAAAGTTATAATGGTGGACCTGTGAATGGAAATGAGTCGATTAAGAGAGTTAGCGAAACTCAGGGTAAGTCTAGATATTCTATTGATTTTTTTTCCATCAATATGTGTTTCAAGCAATAGGTGAATATTATTGTAGTTACCGATTAATCCTTACTGCAAACTCAGATTGCGGTTGATTAGATTATCCTGTTTTTTATATTTATTGTTTTATTTGTACCATATTTTAAAACATATCCTGCCAGATTATCAGTCTGATTGCTGTTTTGAAAAAAATATTTTTTTTTTTACTAATAATATTAGGTCTAACTTATGTTTGAGAATATAATAATGATATTCTATAGGTAGGAGAACACCGGCCAAAAAACCTCAACCAGGCTCTCTATCCGAAGCTATGATGTTGGACACAGAGGCGGCAGTTATGGCTAATTTGGATTTTCTGTCGAACACTGATGTTGACATGGATGACGATGAAGATATGAGCGATGATGGAGAAATGGATCACAGTGTTGAAATGGAGGATGAAGTCAAACCAAATAAAAAAGGTAAATGAAAAATTAAACATTTTAATGCTTGGATGGGTTTGAAATTTACCTCTCATTTGTATGTGATCAAAGTTAGAAAACACTTGGACCTATCTGATAAGTGTTCTATCCAGCAGTACATTTTCAATTTGTGTATTAGTGACATTAGTGTGCGATGGTCAATTCAAAGGCTTTGGTACTCATTTTTGTTTCTGCTGTTACAGAAGGCGAAGATGTAGACGCCTTAGCATTGGAAGTATTTAATGAATTAAACAGGCTTTCAGAGGTTGAGAAAAAACCAGAAACGAAAAATGCCGCCGGCCCTCCTGATTGGGATAAAAGTAAGTTGAATCATGGGATATATTTTAGCTTTTCAATAAAAGCGTATATTTCTATCATTGATCTATATCTTTCATCGAGGATTTTATGTTCTACATTTCCAGCGCAAGTTCCCAAACGGCCAATAGGCATCAGTGATGAAGATAACATAGACGCGGCTCTGGGTTTGGGGGAATTGGCGCAACTGACCGTCAATAATGACGCCGAGAGCACTTATGACATTGCAAGCAGTAAAGAGGCATTTCGTAAAACGTGGAATGCCAAATACACGTTGAGAAGTCATTTTGATGGGGTAAGAATTTGAAATATTTTTTCTTATTGTTTAAGTTTTTCATATTCATGTTTTGCTTGAAATTTTTAGGTGAGAGCGCTTGGTTTTCATCCCACTGAACCAGTTCTAATAACGGCTAGTGAGGATCATACTTTAAAATTATGGAATTTGCAAAAGACCGTGCCTGCAAAGAAGAGCGCTAGTTTAGATGTAGAACCTTTATACACCTTCCGGATGCATTCTGGTAAGATTTTTACCTATTGGAATTCTTTGTGACTAGTTTTCAGTATTGAATGAGAATTCCACAGATAATCATCCTTAACTCGACTTCTAAACGATCTAATGCTTGCCTTATGAAATCTTGATTTTTCTCTGTATCTTTTAGGTCCAGTACTGTCTCTAGCAATATCTGGGACCGGTGAACATTGTTACTCTGGCGGTTTAGATGGCCTCATCAATTGTTGGAATATACCAAATTCGAACATAGATCCTTATGACCTTTTCGAACCAGACGTTTTAAACACAACGTTGCACGGGCACTCTGATGCAGTGTGGGGCTTGTCAGTTTTAAATTCGAAACAGCAGCTGGTCTCCTGTTCTTCGGATGGTACTGTCAAACTCTGGTCGCCCCATAGTAAAGTGAGTATATCTTGAAGTGGATTTCAAAATAATAATAATAATAATAATAACAAATGTCTCTATTTATATACATTGATGTGCATACAGGGTGTCCCACGGTGGATGGCATATTAGATGTTGATGGAAAACTAAAAAGCGGCAATAGGGAACTTGCAACTGAATTAAAATTCTCCAAATTTGTTTTAAATCGATAGATTACACTGCATAATATTTATATGACCAGTTTTTATTTAACTGATACCGCCCTTGTTACACAGAAAATAATGCTAAATTTGAAATAAAAAATTTCCCGCCAAAACAGTGCTTCCATGATGGCTACCTTTTTTGACGTCACGATTTTGTAAACAAACCTGTCAATAGGGAACTTGCAAGTGAAATAAAATTTACAAAAGCAGTCCTCTACAATATTCTTCATCCATTGCGACAATTTTCACAAAAAGCAAACTTTAAAACACTTGAATAACACAAAAATAGCACTGCGTTAGCAGGAGTTCGTTTGCTGCCTTTGTTGTTTAAAAAATCTTGATGTCACGAGCGCTGTCATATTGAAACCTCGTGTTTTCGCGCCAAAGTTTTTAATTTGAATTTCAATAATTTTTGTTTCCTACAACGTATAGATCAAAATGGAAAAAATGAAAACTGTGTAATATCTGATCACTAGAAGTATCTAAAAAAAAAATAAATTGAGAAATATGAAAATTCCCTATTGGGATAAACGACCATAATCTACACTTTGAAAATATTTGTGTTTATGTAGTGTTGCCGCATCTGCTCTAAACCAATAGGAATATCGCTATTTTAAATGGAACACCCTGTATAGTCTGGCTAGCGAAACGGCGAACTGCAAAAGAATTTGCTAATTTGCCAAACTTGACGGAAATAATGATAAACAAGTTGGTGACATTTTTTTTTTGCTATATGGGCATGTGTAGTATTTTGAAATAGAAAAAAATGCGGCAACATTGCAAAATGATAGATGTGGAGAGGCGTGATTATTCAGAGGTATGATTCTATTGGTTAGAGTCTGAACGACAGCAGGCAGTGGCGTGGTTATTGGCGAAACTAAAGAATTTTTTTTTCTAATAATTTTATTGGTGTTTCCGGTGCCACTGAACCGAAAGACATGGCTGTCATCAGGTGGTGTCAGTGAATATTTTTAGGTCACGCCCCACTTTTCTTCCCCCTTTCGTCTCTACCAAGTTACCACTTGCCAGACTATATGTGATTGCATATTTGAATTCTACGGAAAATTTTATTTGTTTGTTGTTCTCTTTAGATTTATTATCAAAATAGATCCTGTTGTCAAGCTCCGCTAAAATCTTGAAATTATCAAGTTTAAAGTTGTCATTTTTTAATGGTTTTGATATCGTTGTGTGAGTGAGAGTGCAGACTTTCTGTTGGTGAAACTTCCATGAGTGAAAACAAAACCATTTTTCGGTAAATTTGAAAACCGTTTATAGTATTCCGTCCTCGATTCCGTCTTATTGAAATAAAATAACAATACATTCTTATCTGCTGGCATTTTTTGCTAGCAGTCTTATCTCTTCAGGTGGGTAGTTATTATAAACAAAGCTATAAAATTTGAAAGCCAATGTAATCCGTGTGATTCACTTCAGTGATTCACCTAATGAATAGGAATATTTCTGCTGAATCAAGTAGGTGGGAAATTCCTGTTATTTTTAAAATCAAAGGAACGCACACTGTCAGGAATATGCACGAACTGTTATGCAACTTGCGTGTTTAAAGAACCCAAAGGAGGTGAAGAGATAATCGGAGGCAAGTGCGATAAATGTAAGACCGTAAGTTGCAGAAATTGCCAAAAATGGTCAACTACAGAAGTGAGATTTATTGCACTAATGTCAAGAAACGTGCCTTTTATTTGTATATCGTGTGCTGATAAAATATGCAATGATGAACAAATTGAAAAAATATTTCATGAGAATAGGAAGTACAATGTTAAATGTACAATGTTAAATGAAGTGGAAGCTGGGAACCAAGAAAGAACAGTACAATTTCAACAACAAATAGATCAATTAAAAAAGGGGTTTAAAAGATAAAGAAACCCAAATAATTAATTTGCGAAGAACCACTGTTGACTTTCAAGATGATGTCTTTACGACAGAGAATATATTGGAAAGTGAAATAAAGGTACTGAAAAGCTTGACAAACTTTCTTAAACTAAAAATATTAACTCTAGCTGAAGAAAATCAAGCCCTTAAGCAAAGAGTCATAGAATATGAGCAAATGGAACATCATGAATCTAAAAAGCATAAACAGCAATTATATCAATTTGAAAAAGAGGAAAAGAACATGACGAAAGAAATAGAAATACTTAAGAAGAAAACGGAGGAGTTAACAAAAATAGAGGTCTAAGATGACTAAGATGAAAAACTGTAGGAATAAGATACTGATACTTACAGACAACTATGGTTATAAATTGTTTGATAACCTCAAGAAACCTCTAGAAAGTCTATTTAGACACCCTCAGATAATAAGCAAGCCAAATGCAAACTTCTCACAAGTAACGGAGAATGCGACAAAACTATCTGAAGATTTTGGACACAAGGATTTCATGGTTGTAATAGCTGGGGTGAATGGAACTTCTAATTTAACAGATGTAGATAACCTAATCAAGTCTACACAACACACTAACTTGATTTTGTGCACAGTACCAATCAGGCAAGATTCCTACCATTTTAACCGGATTAATAAAAATAATAAAGTGATACTATCCATAAAAAATAATGCAGCTTACTCAACATCAAGAGTAAGAGTAATTAACTTATTCTATTTCATAAATAAACCCAATTATTACTCTAGAATCTTTCCAAACAGACATGGAAGAGTTTATATGGCCAATTTGGTAGCAAAAGTGCTGGTCGGAGGTATTTCCTTCCTTGATAGATCTGTTAATGATGTTGGGAGGATAGAGATTTGTGATGAATGGCTAGACGAAGATGTTGATAATGGAGAAATCGATGAGTGTACCTTAAATTTGGTTGAACGACTGAAAAGTTTACGTGGCAAGCAAGAGAATGTTTTGAGGGAGGATTTAAATGGTGTCAGAGCAGAATCATGTAAGGATTTTTTAGGGGGGAAAATAGCAACAATTCAAATTTGAATACAAATAATAGGAAGTTGAAATATCAAAATGAAACAAAACTTTTACTTCTTAACATTCAATCATTAAATAAAAAAACAGATGAATTGTTGCTGTTTGTAGAGCATGTCGAGTTTCCAGATTTTTTATTATTAACGGAGCATTGGATTAAACCAAACCAACCCATCCACATACCTAATTACAGGATCATTTCATTATACTGTAGAGATCAATCTAAGAGAGGTGGCACAGTAATACTTGTAAATGAATACTCTATTGATATATACAGCCTCGAATGCATATCACAGTTCAACAATCTAATTGAAAATGGTTTTGAATTTTATATAATACATGAAAAACAAAATAATGTCTATATAATTTGCATATATCGATCATCAAAACATAATAACATTAATATGTTTCTACAAAATCTGGAAATTCTTCTGTCCCAACTACCTATTAACTCTAAAATAATTTTAGCAGGAGACATAAACATTAATTTTGATGAAATACAAAGCACAGTAACACAGAATCTTTTATATTTGCCAATGTCTTTCAATTTAATAATGTTTGTTGAAGAAGCAACACGAGTGACTTCCCATTCTGAAACCCTAACAGATTATGTATGCTCAAATTTTCATTTTGACGACTTTAATTGCAAGGTTGTTCCAGCAGGTTTATTAGATCATCACTCAGTACTTACAGGATTTAGAATGGATCAAAAATCCAATGTTAAAATTAGTAAAATCGGTAGAATCTATAGCAGTAAAAACTATCAGAAATTTGGCTCACAATGCAACAGTTTGGACTGGAACTCGATATTAAATAACCCAGACCCAATATTTAATTTTTACCAAACTTAAAAGCAATGTTTTAATTGTGCTTTTCCTCTACAAAGGATTAAGTTTAAGCGGAGAAAGTTATGGATTACTCCAGCGATAAAAGTATCAGCAGGAAACATGAGGTGCCTTCATGAAATTAGAAAGATTCAAAAACATAATGCTTTTTTTGAAAACTACTTTCAAAATTATAGAAAAATTTACAGACAAGTTATAAGGGCTGCTAAACAGATATATATATTTTCAGCAACGACTAGACGACTCACAAAACAGAAACAGGGAAAACTGGGCAATAATAAATGAACTAAGGGAAAAACAAAGTAGGCTGACTACTCATCAAGTTCAACTGTCGCCTAACGAACTGAACGATTTTTTCTGTTCAGTTTCAGAAAAATTAACGGAACACTTGGAACAAAAGATAAATCCTTTAGAATACTTACCTGAAAAGATCACTGAAAACTTCCATCTAACAAACACAGACTTGCTTGAACTTAAAAACATTTTGAGGGACATAAAGAAGAAAAAATCGGCTGGAGCTGATGACATTTCAGTAAATACCATCATGGCTCTTCCTGATATGACACTTCATGTTCTAGCTGAGGCGATAAACCATTCATTTCATACAGGAACTTTTCCAGAATGCTTAAAGACAGCTTTAGTGGTCCCCATTTTCAAAACTGGTAGTACATCAGACCCCTCTAATTACAGACCAATTTCTCTGTTATCAGCTGTGTCAAAGATCATTGAAAAGATAATCAAAAGCAGAGTAGTAGAATTTTTTGAAAAACATAAGGTTTAATTTGGTTTTCAGAAAGACAAAGGCACCATGGATGCCATATTTAATCTTTTGGAGGAGGTATATACTGGACTAAATGGTGGCCAGGCTGTCGCGGTAGTATTTTGTGACTTTTCCAAGGCGTTCGACTGTGTGGATCATGAAATACTACTGCGTAAGCTTCAACACTATGGATTTAGGGGTATTGAACAAAGGTATATACAATCTTATACTACTCGGAGAAAACAAGTAGTTAAAGTGGGGGAAAGCCACTGATCTAAAAAATAAATGGATAAACAATTCATACGGCTTGATTGGCAAAATTTGTGCGAAAATTTGGGGTCAATATTCTACGAACAGTTGTGCAACGGAACAGCCTAACGCCTGCGCAGTGTCTTATCTTTCGAACAACTGTTCTAAATTTTGAAATTCCTTCATTTTCATTGGCCAGATTTTGTGCACACACAATACATGTATCTACTGCGCACGCTCACAGCTGTCCCAGTCAGTTGTTTTTGTTTAGATTTTGACCTCGTAAATTAGCAGCATTAGAAGCGTTCTTTGTTTATCCATTTATTTTTGAGATCAGTGGGGAAAGCCAATCAGACACCCAAATTATCAACAGGGGTCAGTGCTGGGTCCTATACTGTTTAACGCTTATCTTAATGATATTACAAGAGTCCCTATTAGGGGTGCTTTAACTGTGTTCGCGGATGACAAAACAGTGCTGTGGAGAGGAAAAAACATAGACGAGCTTAAGGACGTCATCAATGAAGATATGGACTTATTGAAGAAATGGTGCGACAGCAATAAACTCTGTTTGAATTTCAAAAAAACAACAATTATGACATTTAAGTTTAACTTTGACACCCTAACATTAGAAACTAATCATATTGAAAACAGAGCTTCCACTAAATTTCTAGGCATATAAAGTCTGTTTTTTTTTTTAAAGATAATTCCCCAAGTCAAAAATTTAGTAATTATGGCCGAGTTCGTTTTTGTCATCTTTTTTGTCGATTTGCTCCAAAATTTTGACAGGCACGTTACTGGATAAGACAGTTTCAGTTCACAAATCACGTGCCTGTCAAAATTTCGGAGCAAATCGACGAAAAAGATGACAAAAACGAACTCGGCCTATGTTGGCAACACAAGCCTTTTCTACATAAAAAATTTTCAAGCATTGACAATTTTACATTGTATTGCCAAAATAATGTCATTTTGACTTTTATCTTTAAAAAAAATAGTATATTGTTGTATTAGGAGTAGAAGCTTTACTTTTTTGTGCTGAAGCGGTAGGTTTGCGAGCCAAACGTAGTGAGGCTTGAAATACTGCTGAAGCACAAAACAGTGCTTCTACTCCGTATGCAACACGCTATTTTTTCTCCAAACGAATAAGGTGAGCGCGGGGGCAAGTGAATGGTTAAGCGGCTTTAAAAGTACGAGCGGCTTTAAAAGTACGAGCGGCACTAAAAGTACTTCTACTGCCGCTCCAGCGGCACTAAAAGTACTTTTGCTGCCGCTGGGGTTGCCAAGCAGCATAGAAATTAAATTTCTACCACCTCGACAGGTGTTAACCCGCTAATTTTGCCAAGCAGCATAGAAATCAAATTTCTGACATCTTGACAGGGGTTAACAAAGTGACGTTTTTCTGACATTTGGAGAAAAACAAGTTTTATGTTGACAATCAACTAAAATTTAAAGAACACATACTATATCCAAAGAAGAAATTAGCTAGTGGTGCATATGCCTTGAGAGTTGTGGCTAGAGAACTTAACCTTTCTTCAACAATGGCAGTCTACTCTTCTTTGATAGAGTCCCATCCCATTTGAGATACAGAGTTGCATTTTATGGATGCTGCACAAATGACCTAATGGCTAGTGTCACCCATGTGTCACCGTACAAGTGTGTTGAAACTCCAAAAACGCGCATCACAAAACATCCCCCCTTTTATTATATTGAAAACTTATAGACAGGTTCTCCACATGGCACTTATCTTTCTAAGGGGGGATGTTTTGTGACGCGCATTACGATGTATATGTGGAGTGGGACCTAGGGAGCACTGTAAGCCATTATTTAAAACACACAAAATTCTTACAGTAATTGGTCTATATATTTTGGAAACATCATCACTAATGTATAAAAAATATTACAATGGACTGAAGCAACAAAGACATACATACAACACGAGACAAATAATAGTATATTACATACCGAGGTGGGAAGTGTTTCATTACTGTCGAGAGATTAGTTAGTTAACTGAGACGCGAAGCGTCGAAGTTAACTATAATCTCGAGACAGGAATGAAACTTCCTATCGAGGTTTGTATACTATTTTATTTACAACAATTACAACCATTACAATTTTGACTAAATATTTTTAAAAAATTAAAAAATTTTATAGACAAGTTCTGACTTATCTAAAAAAAAGTTTGACATGTAGGACTGGTCTTCAACATTTTAGGAAAATAGGACTTACTTTCCACCCGGGTGGAAAGTGAGCACTTTCCACCCGGGTCAGAGATAAACCCGGGTGGAAAGTAAAACTCAAAAAAGTGTCACTTTCAAACTTTTGAAAAGTCAGAAATGTCAATATTACCTATGTGGTTGTAAATAAAAAATATTCCTCTCCCTATTCCAAAGACATCTCTAGCTCAAAACTCCCTCATTTATAATGGCAAAGAAATATTCAACCATTTGCCTGAGGAAATAAAAATACTGGACAATTGTGCACTTTCGAAATGCAGTGAGAGCACTCTTGGTAATTAGCCCTACTACAGCCTGCTGGAATACTTTGAAGATAGACTAAACTAAATTAATTGATTGTGATAATGTGTTCCTGATTCCTAGTATTGTTTTTTAAGTTTTTATTTTTATGTTTTTTATTATGTTTTTTGTAGATTGAAAATGTTGAAAACTTGACAGGAGCACATTTTTGGAATTTTGTTTACATGTGTTTTTATTATGTATTTATATTTTATTCTATAACTATATTGAGGCGTTTTCGTGTGATATAAAAACTGTTTGGTATTTAGGAAAAAAAAACACCAACTGTGAATTTAACTAGAGGAGATTAAATTTAATTCGAATTTTTAATCATGGATTAAATTCTAATGGGAAATATAGGAAACTAATTTTTACAAAAGCAGAATAAAACGTTAACAGTTATCGGTTTTCATTATCTAATATTATATTATGAGGCAGTGTTGTTTGTAATTGAGAGCAGGGGTGAAATTGTGAGATCCCAGAGAATATGATGCAATATATTTTTTTCAGGTCCAGTTACTGAATACATTTACCTCAGAACAGGATGGAATTCCTTCCAGCGTTGACTTTATTAGAGATGAACCTAACAAAGTGGTAGCCTCATTTGCGTCATCACATTGCGTCATTTTCGATACTGAAACTGGCAAACCAGTTTTGCGCTTGGAATCCACTAGCCAGGATAGCGTCAATTTAAGTGCGAAAAAGGTAAGTTATCCTGGATTGATGCAACACCGTTATTCTTATATTACTTTTTCTATGTAGATATATAAGATTGTTTGTCATCCAACATTATCGCTCACCATCACAGCCCACGAGGATAGACACATACGATTTTGGGATAATCATACGGGCAAAATGGTTCATTCAATGGTGGCCCATTTGGATGCTGTGACTAGTTTGGCTGTGGATCCTAATGGATTGTATCTACTTTCAGGTAAAAATAATAGCGGATTCACAAAGTGGATGTTATGTATTTAGGAAGGAAAATTCACATGCAAACTTTAACAAACCATTTACTAACTACCATAACTGAAATAAAGAAGAAACATACAAGAAACCACCCTTCCTTTGTCCATGCCCATAGCCGACCCGAAATACTTGGAAAGCTAAAAAAATTAAGTTTTTTTTTTTTAGGATCCCACGACTGTTCGATAAGATTATGGCACCTAGACAACAAAACATGCGTTCAAGAAATAACGGCTCATCGCAAAAAATTCGACGAGAGCATCTTAGATGTAGCTTTTCATCCATCTCGACCTTACATAGCCAGCGCAGGCGCTGACGCTTTAGCCAAAGTTTTCGTATAAGGAATAGGAAACATATTTGTTTTCATATCTCAATAAATAAGTGGCGGAGATGACGGCAGGAACAATGAAGGGTAAATGATAAAAGTGGTGGAAGAATAGTGTTTTCTTGCAATAAGGGCAAACTTTATGGAAATGCGGATATCGCAAACTTAGAGCTCAGGTTTAAGGCAATAGATAGTTGAAAAATTGTAATATGAAAATAAAAATCTAGTCAATAATATTTTTTTCACATGCAATTCATCTAATTTTGTTAAGTGCATTTGGGTGTCAAAACCTCATTATCCCAGGCACCCAAAAAAATTGAATCTTTTAAATTTTTCTTTTCAAGACTGAAATATCGTTAATTTTTCATGTGATAGGCATAGAGTAGTGTAGATCAAAAACGTATTTTAGAAAACTTGATATAAAGAATGAATTGACTGTTGCACTTTACTGGCTCTTGAAATTCCTGAGAGCCATATTTTTCATTTTTCAATGCAAGAACCATGAAAGTGTTCTTCTGGCCCTATGTTTCATTTTAAACAATATGATGCGCAATAAAATAGTTTTAGAAGAATACTAAGTCGATGTGTAGGACAGTAATGTCCAAGTTATGTAGATTTATATTGTTTGCCACTTCCATCATTTACTGTTTACATGGGTTGCGTTTTTGCTTGTTTTCAATGGGAATAATGTCCTGGGATGTTGAAACTGCCTAATACATAGTGGATTTCTAAAATTTGAGAAAGAAAATACATACATTTATCTTAAAGGAAATTAAATTGGCTTTATGCGTTTTTTATAAGATTCAACTGCAAACATTTGTTTGAACCACTGAACAGTGAAAAAATCTGTGAATGTTAATGTTTGTCCTGTTTTTACAGAAAACTCATTACTCTTAATTTTTACTCTGTAAGCTATATCACTTAGTTAAAGTGTGTATATATTTAAAAAACCAATTTTACTTTTTATGTATATAAATATTTTCTTATTGTCACAATATTATCTACGATTTGTTTTGCCTTTATATATCCTTTTGTAAATAGGTTTATTTATTTTTACATTAAGTTTCAATCTAATAATATTGGCAATTGAAAAATTTGAGTATAGTGTGCCCACTTCAGATTTTAAATTTTTGGTCCTAGGATTTCTATATTCTAGAAAATCATTTTAAAGTGATCGATTTGTATAAAGTTAAACTGAAGAAAAAAAATCGATGATTAGCTTGTCTCCGTTTCCACCAAATCAAATTTGAGAGTACAGTGGTGCTTATGTCATCTTATGTGTTGAGTGGTGAGAAGCCCATTCATATTTAACCAAATTTCATTATTTACTTATATGTGTAGTATTTGGTGATAATTTTCTTTTAGGCGGACACATTTTGGCAATTCCAAAGGTCCGCCCAAGAGATATTTGAGTTTATTTTGAGATGGGTGATTAATTATTTGTGGCAAGTTTCTTTTCAGGTAGAACATAAGGAAATAAGTCGACCAAAGCCTTGGCTCAAAATTCCCTACCAGTCGTTTACGCGTTTCATTTATATTTGATGCTGGTAGGGGTATGTTTCCTCAGAGTGGTTGTTTCTAGTTGGTCAACAAAGTTCAATTATTTATTTGTTTGATAAGGAGGACGCGATGTACCATTATTATCAAAATTGGATGCAAATTTGCTAAATTCTAAAATCATTTTAGTTGAGATTACTCTTCCAATCCAAATTTCGAGAACAGGCTCTCCAACTTAAAGGCTCCTAGAGGTTGGTTTGGTGGAATCGGCTATTAAATCAAGTTTGATCAGTTGAAATTGTTGATAACTCAAATATTTGGCCAATTTTTATTGCTTATTTAACAAAATTTGTTTTATTGCATCAAAACCTGGTGGGCTTAATAACAATAATGCAATGCAAATATAGATTATATTATATTGTTCATTTTATTAATTTATTGGCAATTTTATTGTAATTGATGTAATTTCCCATTTTTTATATTTGTTCGGTCATGTATTAATCATATATTATATCACAAGACCTTTAAATTTAATCGATTAAATTATCCAACATATTTTGAGCATGATTTTGCTTGGAAAATAGTTGAATGCACAATAACTTAATAATTTATTTTATTTTTATTTAAAAGTTATTGTGCATGAAACTATTTGCCGAAAAGCAAAATTATGCAAAAAATATTTGGATAGTTTAATCCATTTAAATTTATCGGTCGAGTGGTATACGGCTAGATTATTTCCTGAATAATTAGGATTGAATTGTTGGCGTCAATCCTATCCAAAGAGTTCTATTTATTATAAAATGTGAGAATTTTTCTATCAAAATTCTGTCAAAAAAGGTAAACAAAAATTTAATCATATATTATATCACAAGACCTTCAAATTTAATCGATTAAACTATGCAACATATTTTGAGCATGATTTTGCTTGGAAAATAGTTGAATGCACAATAACTTAATAAAAGCTCGAGACCGCGAAGCGGTCGAGGGCTTTTATTTAAAAGTTATTGTGCATGAAACTATTTGCCAAAAAGCAAAGTTGTGCGAAAAATATTTGGATAGTTTAATCCATTTAAATTTCTAGGTCGAGTGATATACGGCTAGATTATTTCCTGAATAATTATTAGGATTGAAGCCACAAACAAAAAGTTCTATTTTTTATTATAAAATGTCAGAATATTTCTATCAAAATTCTGTCAAAAAAGGTAAACAAAAATTTAATCGCTGATAAACAGGTCTTGTGAAATAATCACTTATTTAAACAAAATTTATTCAAAAAATGACGTTGTCTGATTGGTCTATTTTATAATGAATGAAATAATCGCTGATAAACAAGGTCTTGTGAAATAATCACTTATTTAAACAAAATTCATTCAAAAAATGACGTTGTCTGATGGGTCTATTTTATAATGAATGAAATAATCATGCAAAAAAACAAATATTCTGATAAATAGTAACTAGAAGTGGACACATTATATTGTACTGAATTAAGCGTGCAAGAAAAATTATATTGCATAAAATAGTAATAATAAATATTAATAATGTAAATATTATATAAAAATTTCCATTTTCCTGGAAATGAAAAGCTGTAGAACCATGTACAGGGTGTTTAAAAACTAAATTGTGAATGTTACTGTTCGAAGAAAAAAATGATGATACAGTCTAAAAGCCGACCCCATGATTTGTACTTTCATAACTTTTATGGGTTATTTGTTTTTCAAAAACATGTTTTTGTGTAAGTTTAAAAAAGAGCACTGGGTGCCTAACCAGAACAAATTTTCTTATCGTCACACTATGTTTCTTTAATTTTATCGACATCAAAACACCCAGAAAGTTACAATAAACAGACCAAGGAGCATGTAAATATGAGTTTATAGTTCCAAGTTGGGACAGAGTCTTAGCAGCCCTTATTCAATTTTTAGATAATAGGTAAGACTAAAAGAAACAAGGTTTCACGAAATGAAAACATAGGCAATACATTAATTAGAACAGAATCAATAAAACTCGAATTTCGAAAGGGTAATGGACAGAATATCTATGAGGATTGGTCTTTACTCAGCCACCTATTTCCCTCTCTTCTCTGGACAGTTTTCAATTGGAACGATACTATATTTGAGTACCACTTTGTTAATGAACTTCAAATAAAAGACAAAGATTGTCAGTATCAAGATATTTTTTTTGCAGGAAAAGTAGGTACTGCTTGCTTTTCTTTTGCTTTTCAGGTAATGGACTTTTTTGGAAACAATTTTGGTATTCGTTTTGCATGAACTTCTCTGGCCAGTGTTTCTTTATCTAAAACTTTCTCAATTAGTATGTGGCAGTATGCCCCTTTTCTTAGAAATAGTTTGCTGCGACATATTTTCAAGATTGAATGGGCTAGGTAAAGCTTTAGTGGATCTCTGGTAACTGTTTTTGTTATCATTGCTTTTTTTATCCCTTGGTGTTTAGATGTTTTTCATCAATTGTGGTGGCGAAACCATTTGTGTGGAGATTGCCAGATGATTGAGCATGTTAAAGTAGATCTATATTTCATGTAACTCTTCAATTCAAAAACATATGATGAGAGATAACTACAGTCCGACTTTTATAATCTGATACTCCCTACGTTAACACGTCAATGGACACCTGACCTGACATCTGTTTTTGCTTTTGTGAATGTAACAAGAAACATATATGAACTTTTTTTCTTCCAAGGTGTGGATGATGCAAGCAGTTTTTTTCTGGCATACCGAAAAAAAGTGAAAATCACTAGGAAATTAAATTATGTTCATCCATAGAATAGTATATTGTGTATTTAGGTGGAAAAGAGATACATTATTGGCTGACGGTGTAAGTTGACGGGCGAGGCGTAGCCGAGGCCGGCAAACACCGAAGGCCAAGAATGTGCTTTTTCACCGAAATACGCATACTATTTTTTCTGTGATCGGTTAAATATCTGTCAAATGTTGTTTGTCTTTTGGTTCCAATTGTTCAGAGAATCACTTTGCCAGGCTAGCGGGAAAAGTGATTCCCGTATTGTTATTCATTGATTCCTTAGCAACTATTGAAACATAATTAAAATATCAGAATATTAGCTTTGTTTTCGTTCGAAACTTGGAACGGTTCTGGAATTGCGCAGAACTGCTTGCGCACAAAAAATAATAGAGGACTGTTCTAATACTAGTTCTGAACCAATTCGGAACCAAAAAAACCAAAACACAAAATTCTAAAACAGTTCCTCCTTCAGAGCAAGAACTGAGAGAACCGTTCTAGAACAATCCCAGAATTGTTCTCAAAAAGTTCTAGATAAACCAAAACACTGTCAACACAGTTCGATTACGATTCTGAAAAAACCAAAACGCGTTTTGTAATATGCGCATGTGCAGGATGATTCCGAACTAGTTCTGAGTGAAACCAAAACAAAGCTATTGAGTTTTGCGACCTGTCAACCGGTCAAAAATGTTGACATTTCTTGTCAATCACAGAAAAATAAATTTTCATAACAAAGTTGGCACTTTTTAGTCTGTGAAATATTGATGTCACTTACCTCTTTAATTCAAATAACCAATGATGCAGACACTCTTACTTGCTCCTTAAAAACCGCGTCCTCCTGACTGTAAGATGAGTTTGGGATAAAATGGAAATAAAGCAATTTTCGACAAGATTTTGAAATTTGAATTAAAAACTATGTCAATCTCTTTCAAAAACGAACAATTTGTTGCTCTCAAGAATCCAGGTTCCCGAAAACTAAACTTTATGGGTTCATTCCGTTATTTATTGTATGGAAATGCACATCATTGATGCTGGATAAAGTTTAACTTTGGTGGTGTTTGGCAATAGCTATACAAAAAATACAATTTAAAGAAATCCCATTTGTGACAATTTTTTAGTAAAACTCAACTATAGGAAACTAGTGCAAGCCTAAAACGATTACCAAAAATCTTTGTATGTATCAGTAACTTCCATTGAAACTTTCAATCAGGAATTGAATCGAGTACATTTGAAAAATCACACCTGAAAGTAGGAATATATTATTCTACAAGACACGAGCAAATCCAGAGGCGCAAAATCCATTTTAATCACAAATTATTTGGAAAAAAAAATTGGTTGAGTTCAATAAACTAATACATGAACAGGGTGTAAATCACGGGGTCGACTCTCCTACTAATATTAAACAAATATTTGCTTGTTTTTGTGTTATTATTATTCTTTATTTAAAAAAAAAAGCTGTTACTTTTTATTTTTATATTTTAAAAGAGTATTTCTATAGCTAGTGTAATATAAAACTGCCCCTATAGTAGACCAGTTGTATGATTTATTTTAATTGTCATCCCCACCACTAGCGCCTCAGTGAGGCGTCGAAGCTCGAGTGAAACTGTCACTAGTGTCAGATAATATATAATCTAAGGCGATTTTCAGCCTGGAACAATGAACTATAGCTAAAAACTGGAATGCGCACACATTGCCATATCTGCCAAAAAAATGTAGCCATGAAAGATAGATGCCACAGAGGGGAATGTTGTTTTTTTCTGTTGCTTGCTGACATATGACGTTTTCGAAAGTTTTGTCATATTTCCCTTCACAGGTTTCATTAATTGGAATACGTGTTGGAAGCAATTTTCGCCATTTAACATAATGAGTGCGACAAAAACAGGTATCCCCTCCGCAGCAGCCGCACTAGGCTTCAAGTTCGTCCTTATGTGTTAGCATTCCAGTTTTTGGTTATAGTTCATTGGCCTGGAATGATTATTATTTGGTTATAACCAATGCATTTCCGCCGTCGCGGTTTTAACCAAAGTGGGGGAAGTTCTGACGTCACATATCAGCTGATTTGCTTTTGGTATTTACCAGTTATAACCGATTATAACCCAGCTTTAGACTTGGGTTAATCTTTTGGTTACAGCTTTTTGATGTTATTGTTATTCTTTTTGGAATTTGTATTGGTGTTTTGTGATTTTGCAGTCGCGTTGTAGCCTAGCACGAAAGAAGTATACATTCACTCACTCACTGCAATTCACCATGTTTAAATCGGGGTTTAGATCATCCCCAAAGAAAATCTGTTCGATAAACGAGACTAACGAAAGATTCAGCTCCATTTTTTTGTACCTAAACAAAAAAACTATCGTTGAAACGAAAAAACAAATGAGAATAATAAACATAATCCTACACTGCTATAACCAAATCATTTCAGCGGTCACTTCCTTGGGTTGGGGGGGTGGAGGGCTATGACGTCACACTTGGCTGTCAAAGTTGTCAACCAAAAGAATAACCACGGTATTCACCGATAAATAATCATTCCAGGCTGAAAATCGCCTCTATTCACAATCCGAAGTCCGAACTTAAGATAAGATTTATCACCTTTCAGTTGGTAGTTGATAGGGATGTTATTTTTATTACCTTTTATACTTTGAATAAGTACTTTTAATACCATTGAAACGAATGACCTATTAACACAGATAGACAGAACAGTAAATAGTTATTTTCCTAACAAGTGCGCAAAGTGCTACTTTTCCGCACGCAAACACAGTTATACGAACGACGCGAAGCAGAGTTCGGATGAGTGTTTGCGTGCGGAAAAGACACTTTGCGCACGATAACGGATTAACGGTTTTCTGCCCAACTATGGCAAAGGTGGGCACAGTTAATCGAAAAGTTAACTTCGATAATCGTTAATCGTTAAATTTTTGAGAATATAACGCAAGTTAAAGTTATCCGTTAAGAGTTAATCATCGACAATGTATACTGATGTTTGAAGCTAATTATAAGTAATAGATACCTATTTGAAATAGAATAGGCTGGTCTAGGGTGTAGTATTTTTAATACCTATTTGGAAGTACCAGTCGTTTAAGTGATTTGTGATTGGTTGGTAATTTTTTATTTCATCTGATTCTTAATTGATGAACAAGGATGGTATTATTCCAAATGGGTATTGAAATACTATACTTACACTCCTACACAGGTGAATCAGTGGCGGCTCTTCCTAAGGTTTGCAGGTTTGCGCAACCCCTAAAACAAGTTGAAAACAATAAAACAAAAAAGAACTAATATTTTAGTACCTAATTATATTTTAAAAATAAATTATACCAAAATTTGGTACCTACATAATATGCGAGGAGCTCTCCCGCAGTTAATTTATTAAAATAATTTGACCACCTCCGCCAAAATGGCAATAACTGACTCGCCGCCGCGCCGGATTGCAGCTCGAATGCAACCCGATCGGCTATATGACGTCGCACATGTGGTGCCTATCTACGCGTGGATTTCAATTCCGTCCCATAAGCTCCAGCAGGTTGAAGGCGAAGTGCAAACTTTCTTCACTTTTTTGCGCGCATCGCAGATTGGGTTTGTTTTAAAATATTTTATTTTAGTTTGTGGTGTGGTGCGTAAAAAAAAATGTTCAAAGTTTAATTGCAGAGCCATTCTGTGGTTGATCATTATCCGATAAAGCTGAAATTGGAATTCCAACCCCCACATTTCTAATATAGGAGCCGCCACTGAGGTGAATGTGAATAAAACAAAAAATATCTAGATCTAATAAGCGACATTATTTCCAATTTAGGTAGCTGATTTAATTACCATTCACCTTTGCAAGAAAAAGGAGCTTATAGAACCAATGCAGACAACGCCACAGCCCAACGATACGCCTCAGCTCACAGCCTACCTAATAACAGAACTAAGGGCTTGCGCATCGATCCACTGTACGGAATCGGGTTTGGAGTCAGTCCAGAACAGTTCCAAACTGCGTAGTGTAGCGAACTGAAATCTTTCTACGCCTGTGCGATCTGTCCTGATTGACCTTGGCGCGCAATTCAAGCAAAAAAAAATGACGTCATTTACGAACGTAACGGACTAAAGTTAACGGAAGACCAATGTAACGGAAGTTAGCAAAACCGTTAATCTTTTTTAGGTTAACTTAAAAGTTAAATTAAAGCAATTTTTTTACCTTCGTTAATTAACGGATAACGGATTAACGGTTCTCTGCCCAGCTTTGAGTTTTGAACAGTTTTCGCGTTGAGTGTTTTCTCTTACTAATTTAACTCAACTCACGCATAGTTATTTTCGCCTAAATAAAAGGCCAAATAATACAAACTTTTCAAGTACATTCGTGTATTGTGACGTTGTAAAAAGTACCCGAATTGTGACATACCTTTTTTACGAGCTAAAAGTTAAGAGTTCTAGAAACTTCTGTAAAAAAATCTTGTGTATATAGTGTAATAAATGACTGTACATTTGTAAATAGACAAAGAAGAGTTTCATTGTGTACAGGGTATTTGAATATATTTGGCACCATACCTACTCCTACAGTCTTTATTATTTAAGATAGAAAAAAAATTTAAATACAAACCTTGACAGTTTTTTTCTATATGTGGGGTAGTATACAAGTGATTTTTAACTACTACGTAGTAATATACTCGACGTATCATACTGTTTAGTGTGATCAGTTGCTTTGTAAAAACCGCAATAGCCTGGAAATTCTTTTTTCTATTTTCCTCTTAGCCCCGCCCCTACGTGAAAATAAAAGTTCGTGACGTAGTTAGTTTTTCCAATCTGGCAACACATCACGGTTTTGAGAACGCACAATTTTGCACTGACATTGACCGTCAAGAACGAAACGTCAAATTTACTACATCAAACAACGTAGACAAGTTCCTGTGACAATGTCACATGTCACACGATTCACACGACACCACACGTCGTTGAAGTTGAAGTCAGCTGTCATTTTGAGGCATTTTGAGCAGCGGCTTGAATACTATTGGTCGCCGCTGTGGCGCTAAATTCAAATCACAGTTTGTTTTTCTCTGACTAATTCTAAAGACACTATGCTGGAAAGTAATTGAGTATCCCACTATACCATCACCATTTAGCCTATAGAATAATGTCGAGCAGTTTTTTTACTGATTTTTATACCTAGTATACTACCCCCAAAAACCTGACGAGTAAAAAAGGAAGCATTTCCGGACCCATGTTCGTAGGAACTTTTTGTCTTAGTTTTATGCAAGGAATACGCTCCTGAAAGGTTGCCGCTTACTTTTGAATCACCCTGTACATATATATATTGAGCACATTTGAGTGAGCCGTTTTTGAAATATTTTAGCTTAAATTTGCAAAGAAATTTCATAAGGATGTCAAGACGGAAAGAAATCTTCATAAAATTCCTTTGGATTTTATTTAAAATTTAAGCTAAGATATATCAAAAACGACTCACTCAAATATAATCAGTATATATATATTTGGAATATGGAAGAAAAGATCTTCAATTTTATCGCATAATATACAGGGTGTTCCATTGAAAAAAGTAGAAGTTGCCTACGTTTCTCCATTTTCCGATGTGATTTTGTTTTTTCTGATACTGTTAAAAGATAATATAGAAAAAAACTGTCAAGTTTTGTATTTCAAATTTTTTTCTATCTTAAATAGTAAAGGCTGTAGGTATGGTGCCAAATATAATCAAATACCCTGTACAGCAACCTCGAATAGGAAATCGGAATTCTTCTAAACAATTGTCACTGTGGTCCAGTTCTAAGCTAAACTCCTGAAGTAAGCCAGCAGCTATTTTTTCCTACAGTCCACTGTTCCCATTCTAAACACATTATTATTATCCAAATAATTAAATTATTTTGACAATTGTCAATGTCACCATCAATTTCAATTACCAAATTGAGTGAAATTATTACCTGGAACGTTAGGTCTGTTCCCGCAAGAGCCTATTACAGTTTGCAAACTGTCAGAAGCAATCGCTCAGCTAAGTTACCAATTTATCTTCAAACGATTGTATTGAAAACATGTATGGGCAATGCTTTCTGACAGTTTGCAAACTGTCAGAGATACTTGTGAGAACAGACCTGTTGTGACAGTGTCACTTTTAATGCAGTTAAAGTGGACTTTTACTGCCTAGGCAGTAGAAATACAACTTTTGATACTGTCAAGTGTCATTAAAAGGCCGCTTTTACTGTCATTCGGAGAAAAAATAATTGTTGGTACTACTTACCAAAATCCAAAAGTCAATTGGTACACTACACATGACGCGATAATCGGAAAATGGCGGTAGAAAAATCTTAACTTGTGTGAGAATTGTGAGGAAAATCGATAACTTCCGGATGCGACTGGCGGTACTTCATCTATCAGCGATTCGTACCCGACTAAATCTAAATCCCTTTGTCTTAACCGACAAAGAAATCCAACCACCAAAAAAAAAGGTAAACAGATAGGTAATAAAATATGAGTAACTGTGATAGACAAAAAAAACTAACTGCGTAGTAGAGTAGTACCCGACGGCAAGTGTAAATCCCCTGTTTCTAGCTATATAGGGCCTAATTAGTATCAATTTTTTTTTAAAGCTTATTTTAGCTTTGTTCCAATAGAGCAGAAAACTGTACCTACAAAGTACCGTGAAGATTATTCGCTAAGCCTGGAATCCCAAAATCGTATACAAAGTGGCTTCGAAACCGTTCTTGAAACGGTTTTGGAACAGACCTTGATTATAACTTTCAATTTTTGTCTATTCTAGGCGCTAGGCTCTCTGAAATAATTCCGAGGTTTTCAAATTGTTCAAAATGTCGCTGAACAGTGATCTAAATGGCTTAGTGAAGAAAGACTGTGAAGTTCTAAAGTGTTCTAACTTGAAGAGTTCTTGAGTATTTTAGAAGTTTTTTGGTAACTACTCAATTGTTCTGACAGATTTTTAAGTATTTTAGAACTCTTATGAGGATAGGCCATCCTGTTGTAGTAGTGTGTGTGTATCATCCTTGAGTTCACCAGCCCTGGGTTAAAAATGCTTGGATAAACACCTTTCGACTTAACTAGGTAGTAAGCCCAGAGTTAGAGTTGACTCAGGGTCAGCAGACTCTGCGCGTTATTCCTTGATTGATAAAACGGCCCCTAATGAACAATCAGGTTTAAGAAAGTGACTCAGCGCCACGGCAGCCCTATTAAAAATAACCGATGACATTTTGACACCACTGGATCAGGGCCGTAGCTAGAGTCAAATTTAAGATAGGGCATGACAAATTCGACATAGGGCATAGACATAGGCCTCCCCCCCACCCCCCTAAATTTTTTATAGGTAAACAAAATGTTTCAATAAATCAAGGTTCAGGTTGTATGGTAATGGGTAACTTGATGACGCATCATGGTATGTATAATATACAATTACAATGGCATAATGTATGGTAATGGGTAACTTAATGACGCATCTGATCTGGGATACCTTATAGAGATTTGCATTATGTTGAGGCGCCTCTATCAAACAACCTTGCAATAAATAACATCTCTAGCAAGTAGGTAAATAAAATGGCGCGGATTTTCGCGCCGGCCGCCTGGGCCATTCGCACTCTTTCAAAACAAAAAAAAACTTCCTCTGTGCAAACGTCAACCATTGTTCATTAGATTTAGGCATGTTCGGAAACATTCATCCTCGCTTACTCGATTTCAGGCGTACCTATCTATAGTCTGGCTAGCCAAACGGCGAACTCCAAAAGAATTTGCTGCTTTGCCAAACTTGACGGAAACAATGATAAACAAGTTGGTGACATATTTTTTTGCTATATGGGCATGTGTAGTATTTTGAAATAAGAAAAAAATCCGGCAACATTGCGAAATGGCAACATTGCGAAATGATGAATTCAGAGGTTTGATTCTATTGGTTAGAGTTTGAACGACAGCACGCAGTGGCGTGATTATTGGCGAAACTAGAGAATTATTTTCTAATAATTTTATTGGTTTATTTCCTTGGTGTTTCCGGTGCCACTGAACCGAAAGACATGGCTGTCATCAGGCGGTGTCAGTGGATATTTTTAGGTTACGCCCCAGTTTTCTTCCCCCTTTCGTCTCTACCAAGTTACCACTTGCCAAACTATACTTCAATCATCTACTCTTAAATTTTCTAAAGAAACCTTAATGTATGTTAATTTTTAAAAGAAGTAAGACGGTCGAAATTTGATCGTGGCGCCATCTATTTCTATTTTGCATACATGCACAAAACTTGGATTGGTTTTCTTTGCTTTACCTAGCCATACTGATGAGACCTGATATAGGTTGAAACGCGTCTATGGATGGAAAAGCAAAGAAAATTAATCCAAAATTTTCTCATTAATTTTTAAAGGTAGGGCATTATCATAAGATAGGGCATTGCCCCCCAATGCCCCCCCTGGCTACGGGCCTGCACTGGATAGCAAATCAAATAACATTTCTTAGTTCTTATTGGTTGATGAGGTTTTATTTGGGATTGGATCGAAATAACACAACAGAAGTCTCTGTTATTTCACTCAGATTGTCAACGTTTTGCAATATAGGTATTTCATTTCATTTCATGTAATGACATAGAAGATGTAAGTAGGTACCCAATACTATAAACACAACTGGAGTTGTTAGGACTCTATAGAGTAACATATCGCCTTTGTAGTTTCCTGAAGATGCAATAATATATTGCGAAACGTTGACAATCTGAAATAACAGACTTCGTTGTTTTATTTCGATCCAATCCCAAACAAAACCTCAACCAATCACAATTAAGGGATCGATAACAAACTAACCAATTCTTATATTGCTGCACTGATAGTTTTTTGAAGGAGGTACCAATATATAATAGGGAAGAATAAATAAGTCTTTTTGATTCACAAAACTACTTTTTAATTAACACTACCAGTTCCATAATTTTTGTGGTAAAAGTAAAATTAGTCCAAACAACAATGTACGAATAGGTATTGATGATTTTATCTGATTTTTTTAGGAAACCACAATCAGAATAGGCCTTGGGAATCTTGAAATAGCTCCTATTAAATTGACACAGTCTCAGTCGAGTTCAAATTTCGGGTTTTAATCACATTTGCATAATAGTGAGCAGAGTTTTTAAGCGTACGAGTCCGATTATCGCTTTCAAAGTCCACTTGTACTAGTCCAAATTTGACCCTAAAAAATAAAAAAAATCAGGAATGTATATTGGGTTTGTACTTTTTAGTAAGTTTTACTTGTATCCCCTACTCCATTCCAAATTATCCAGTAAGCTCCAATAAGTGTAACGAGTTACATTTACTCCATCCAAGCACATAGCTAAGCGAACTTGAGCCAAAGTTTCCTTTATAAAACTGATCCTATTGGTATCATTTACTATTCCTGTGGAATCTGAATATCCATTTTCGGTGATATATATTTCTGGATTGTTGTAAGTTTCTTTGACGTACTTTAGAATGTATCTTATGCCTTCAGTATAAACCTTAAATACAGATAATACAATAAAATGGTTGATTGATAAAATTAAAATCTAAGTTAGGTACCGTGAGAGACATAAGATATACATATTAGATATACTGGGAAATGCTGACAGCACCAATGAGAACACGATTTCCAAAAGAGTCCGAACTTGAAAGAATAATCCGTTCAGCTCAGAATGAAAACCAAACTAGTCGTTATTGGCTGAGGATCTGCAAAGAATACCTACCCAGAAAAAAAAACTTATCCCACTATAGAGCTCAGTTGTAGTTATGATAAAGTTGATAAAATGCTCCAAGAGGGAATTATTGAAGAGTAACATAGTCCATGGTCTATTCCAGTAATATTGTTATAAAAAAAAGATGCGGATGTTTTAGATTTTGTGTGAACTACCTTAAGCTTAATGACGTCACCAAGAAGGACAGCTTCCCTCTTCCGAGGATAGATGATACATTAATAACTCTATCGGGCTCCAAATGGCTTTCCACATTGGATCTTAAGAGTGGATACTGGCAAGTGGCAGTACCCAAAGATGACAAAGAGAAAACTGCCTTTAGTACCGGAAGCGGGTTATACCATAGTTTATGCTGCCTTCCGGATTGTGTAATGCTCCCGCTACGTTTGAGGGACTGATGCATCTAGTTTTGCGAGGCCTTACACGGAGAACTTGTCTGGTATATTTAGATGATGTCATGATCATGGGAAATTTGGCGGCCATTCAAAGAATCAATATGCATGAGAAAAACACTGGTCCATCTGTGAGAAGAATCGTTGATGATAAATGGACTACCAAACAAATGAGAGCAGATCAAGCGGCAGACCAGGACATCGGGCAAATTCAACATCTTGAAGAAAATGATGAATGTAGGCCAGAAGCCCGATCCTCGGGCCAGGCAGAAGAGCTCCCCGATAGAACGAATGTTTTGTCTTTGTCAACGTAATCGAAAAGTAAATGAGAATGATAAAGACGAAAAATTTGTTCTCTCGAGGAGCTCTACTCATTGGCTCGAGGATTGGTCCGCAGAATGGAGGGAAGTGTCGAACAAGAGTTTGATGTAAAGTCCATTCCAAAATATTTCGTTGACTTCACGGCTATAAAACCCTACCATAAATTAGATAGCTATTAGCCTCTATTGTGTAGGTACCAGGTTCTTTTATGTAGGTACCGGGTTCCTTAATACCCACTCAAAGGTTTACAGGTACGGATTTTGTGCCCATTATAATGAAAACGAAAAAGGCGTTTCATAATATTATTTATTTATGTTATAATCTTATACTATCTTAATAATTACCAAAACTTAATATCTAATACAATATAATACAATACACAATTCAACCAAACCTAATCTATATTTAGTTCCGTTTCACTGTCACTGTCATCTTCATCTATGCCTAAACTAATTATTAATGGCTTAACATTAATACCTATTGAATTATAGGTTTCTTCAACTTTTATAACGTGATTGACAGAATTTTTCCAGCTTTGAACTGGAATATTATCTACACATTTTCTAATTAAATCTATTACAGCAGTACTAAGTGTAGGAGAGGTGTTTCCTCTCCTAACCATTGCCTTCAATTCATGCCAGATATGTTCTATTGGATTGAAAATACAATAATATGGAGGAAGACGCAAAACTGTATGACCACAAGCGCTAGCAAGATCGTCACAAATATATTCTTTTTTAACATTATATGATTTCAAAACGTTTAAAAGATCTTTCTTTGTATAATTTTCTTCGAAATACATATCATTTTCCATCATATATTTTTGAAGTTCTACTTTTGTATTACTTGCATTGGGCACTTTATTTTTTTGACGGCTGTGGTAACTAGCGTTGTCCATCACAATTATACTGTTTTCTGGTATGTTCGGAAGAAGGCGATTCTGAAACCATTCTTCAAATAATTTTGCATCGGTATCTTGATGATAATCTAATGATGAATTGGCTATTTTTTTTGCGGATAGCAGCAAAGAGTTTGGAACAAAACCATTTTCTGATCCGGCATGCAAAATTGTAATCCTCTGGCCTTTATTTGAGGGTGCTTTGGTTTGACATTTGGAGGTTGAGTCGCTCCACCTCTTTTGGGAGTGTCATGGGTATCAAACCATGTTTCGTCAAGATATATTATCGGACGATTTTCTGCCCTATATTGTTTTATGGAACTTAAATATTCTCGACGCCATGCTTGTAATCGCTGGGATTCCATTAGCACTTGCCTCTCATTAATGGTTTGATATTTGAAACCCATTGCTTTCACAATTCTCCAAAGGCTTGTTCTGCTACATAATATATCAGTTTCGTCTTCTATAAGTACCTTTTTTAGAGAATCTATTGTAGGTATTATTTGTTTACTGTACAAATCATAAATTTTCCTACGAATCAACTCTTTATCCGCTTCTTCAACCTTTCTTGACTTGCCGCTGTCACACCGTTGCTTCCTTGGCTGGATGCGTTTGGCTACGATATCTTTAACCGTAGATAATGGAGTTTTGGTTAAAACGGATGATTCACTCACACTTTGATTATGATTATAGCCTCTCTGCAGAAGGGTTAAATAAACGTTCCTCACAATTTCCTTGGCATCTAGCGATAAATGTTTTTTTTTTGAAATACCACTTCCGGTTGCAATACTACCATCATTTGCCCATGGACGCCACATTTTTTTTGTCAATATAACAGCTCTAGTTCTGCACAAAGACTAAATAATTTAACTAAAACATTCACCCACATTTACATGTACATCTCACCTAGGCAGGTATAATAAATAAAATCAACCCGGACCTGCTCACAGGTAGTCGAAGTTTGTGGTTGAGGGTATCATCAACATTTTATTGATACTTGAAGAGTCAACGAATTATTTTGGAATGGACTTTACATACAAGGCGTTGTCGGTCAGTGGAACTCTCCGACTGTAGAAAATGTTTTACCGAAAAGATTTTGGGATAGTGCCGATGAGAAAACTACTGAGAGCCAACTAGTTATTCCAAAAGATCGAGTAGAACTTCAGGGGCACATTTTGGAGTTAACAAGACTTTGGACAAAATTCGTTTTTACTGGGCCACTGTCATGAAGACGTTAAGAACTCGTGGCGAAAATGCGCCATATTATATTATGTGCTATCAATAAAGGCCCTACACTAAGATCTCAGGGGCCCATGAAACAGTACAACGTCGGTCTCCCATTTGAAAGAATAGAGATAGATGTTGCCAGACCGTTCCCTGAGTCAGGCCGTGGTAACAAATACATCTTGATTATCATGGATTACCTCAGTAAATGGTCAGAAGTTTTCGTTATTACCAATCAAGAAGCCATCACTATTGCCCAGGTGCTAGTGGACAAAGTTTTCAGTCATCATGGTCTGCCACTAGAGTTGCATTCAGATCAGGGACGAAACTTCGAATCTGCCATCTTTAGGAAAATTTGTGAGATCATGGGCAGTCGTAAGACAAGGACAACACCTTTACATCCACAGTCTGATGGCTTTGTAGAACGATTAAATAATACCATAGAGGAACACCTGACAAAATTGGTCCCAAAGAACCAGCGAGATTGGACAAACATGTGCCTTTATTTTTAATGGCTCTCAGAGCAGCTGTTCACGAGTCAACAGATGAAAGTCCAGCTAGAATCCTTTTTGGAAAGGAACTGGGGTTACCTTGCGATCTGATGTTTGAAATAGGTACCTGAAGAAGAACGAAGAGAGATTCCAGATTATGCCGACGAAGTGAAGTCACGACTTCTGGGGATACATGACTAAGCTCGGGAGCATATTCAGCTGGCCAGTGACCGAATGAAGACTAGATACGACTTGAAAGCCAATTCAGTCGGATTTCAAAAGGGTGATTTAGTATGGTATAATCTACGCTGTGTCTAGCCTCCCGGCACCGGTATTCATACGAATCCCGGTTATGACGCGTTTTCGATGACTCCATCAACGACCGCCGGGATTTATCGTGGGTCCCGGATTCAAAATTCAAAGTCGTGTTTCTCTTGCTGCTTGAAGCTGTGATTAATTCCGGAATAGCTTTTGTGTATTATTGTTTCTTGTTGTGATATTGGTATCTATTAGAGGGGTGAGTAGGTACTTCGTTAATCCACTTTTCGTAGTAGTGGTTTAAAAAGGGAATATTATGGTTTATTTTCATTCATTATTCAGGACTACAGCCTTTTTAACAGCCTGTATCTCTGAAATAGGGTACTCTTGGACCCATGCTTATAGGAATTTTTGCTCTTAATTTGAGATGTAGAATCCGCAGTTAAAATATTAACCTCTAATTTTGGGGCACCCTGTGTAATGTTGCTAAACATTAACGGCGTTGCTGTACAAGATTAAATGCTGAACAAACTTTCAAAATGACCCTGTACCTACATAATAAAAAGTCATAATTTTATTTTCCATTAATAAAAGCTTATTGCGCCGACTTTGTTTACTTTTTTTACACTTCATAACAAATCTGCCCCAATACCAATGAACATAATAATTATTAACATCTTATATAGCCGGGATCCACGACAGTTACCGGTGGTTGTTGATGACGTCATTTAAAACGCGCCATAACCGGGATTCGTATGAATACCGGTGCCGGGAGGCTAGACGCAACGTATAATCTAACAAGAAAGAGAGGAGTGTCGGCGAAATTGTCATCAGCATGGGAAGGAAGGACCCTACAGAATAATCAAGAGGAACAATGATTTGGTTTATCAAGTTTAGCGCAATATCAGGCGTAAGATGAAAGTTGTACATTTATAATTAAGTTGATTGAGTTAATTAGTAAATTAGTGAACTAATTAGTGTCAGAGTGTTATAGTAACCTTGAATAAATTATTGTTGTGTTGATTGGACTTTGATTTTTGAATAAACGGAACCAAGATTTTTGTCACGCACGCTAGAGCCATGACAGTATTTCACTAGAAAAGTATAGCTATAGATAAGTACTTACCTTTAAGTTTGATACAGCTGTAGAAAGCCAATTTGAATTCTGACTTGTAGAAATTTGCTCATCATTAATATATGACAGTGAATTATCATAAGTCGCCAATGTAGCGCGGAAGGCGGTGTAAGTATTAACCATAAATACATCATAAGCTCCCTTAATCATCAGTTTTTCTGTGCAAGTAAACTTGGGTAACCTTGAGGTACTGAAGTTTTGATTGGCACTGTTATTTGCAATAACTTGTTTCATTATTTCAGGGTAGTCTCCGTAAACTAGCGGGTGTGCAAACCATCCAAACTAAAAAAATCAAAATAATAATTTTTCTAGATTCTACTGACACATTGCAATAGAGTTATGATGCTTCATCAATTGACCTCATTCTCGGACTCTCAAAATTGTATGTTATCCAATAACCAAACCTAAGTATTCCAATAACAAATATACAGGGTGTCCTACGAGGTTTTATCCAGGTGATAACTTCGGAACACGTCATCGAATGTTCCACTTTGTAATTTTCTTCAACAAAGCCTCACCAAATATGGCATAGCATAACCGATTTTGTAATTTAATTTTCTAACGAAAAATTCCATAATATACTATAAGTTACATATAAAGATTCTAAAGTTGATACATGTAGAAGTGGCAAGGCACACCTGGGTAAAACGACATGGGACACCCTGTATAAAAATTATGTATAAAAAAAAAGGTTGTAACCTCAGAAGCGGATGTGAAACCTTTTAGGGACATGTTAGCAAATTAATGTTTCAATAACTTTTACAATTTTGCTTCGGTCATAGATATTGTTATACCCTCCGATATTTACGCGGACATAAATGACTTTTGGAATTCTAGCTGAAACTCAATGATGCATTATGCATTCTAAAACAAAATTTATCATTTCTAAAATATTAGGTTTGATAAAAGAACATCGTTTGCGCTTCCACCAGGACATCAAGAACAGAGAAGTACCGTCAAACGGGGTTAAGTGAATCAAAAATTGCGGTTTTTTGTCGATATCTTCGAAGCCATCAGGACGAAAAATATGCAAAAAATAATGTATATTCTAGCACCCTTTCCAAAGGATTCAACAACATATTGGCCCTTTTTGTGTATGGGAACCACCCTTTTTTATGGGTCAAAGGTTGATTCACTTTACCCACCATTGTGGGGTAAAGTGAATCACCCATTTAAATTGGCGTTTTATTCACTTTAGACTAATACTGGGTAAAGTGAACCAGTTCACAAGGTTTAAAGAAGTGTATTTCGTTCAAAAAATAGGTTTAACGCAAAAAAAGAACATTCTCCGCTAATTTAACGGTGAGTTTTGGACGTCGTTTCATAAATAATTCAAACCAGTCATCCAATCGAGTCCTGGAAGATTATTATTTGAATCTTTTTTGAGTTAGTCCCAACTTGTTAAGATATTGTTGCTCAATTTTCCTGATATCATTTGATTTTAGAGGAAACCCCCACTGTGTGCACTGTACATATTTGGAGAGAGTCCTTAATGCGAGGTTCTTGTTCCTCATTTAGCACAGGCTGGGCTGGCGACGGCACTCCAGATTACTTAGAATAAGTTTTGCGTATGGACATATCTTCCCCGTCAGACCGCCGCAACTGGTCTTTCTACGTGAATTTTGTCGTAATTATATTTGCCCTGAGGCCCCAACTTTTTTTTGTAGTTTCTGGAAATTTTAAAAGGGGGGAGGAAATAGGGGTAGTTCTCGTTGTAATCTCTTAAACACAATTATTCCAAATTTTCGATAAAATTAATATTAATTTACTCTCCTGTTCATTCTTGTTTATTTTTGTTTCATTTTGCAGCTGATTCATTTTACCCCCTGTTGTGTTCATTTTAGATTAAAGAAATCATATTCATGCGACCAAATAACTAAAATCAAAAAAACCTCCGGGAATATGTTGCCAACATGACTGGGTTACACTTGTTATCAGTCATATATCCGGAACACATACCCCTTTGCTCCTGCAACTAAACCTTTCCAACTTTTACCCATATCACAAAAAAGCGTGCGTTTGAAATACGTTCATGCTGGCTCTCATATTTTTGAAACCGAAGGCATACTACCTCAGCAACATCAGTAAGTAAAAGTAACATACGAATATCATGCGAACACCGAGAAGGGCTCAAAAATAAGGAGTCTGCGCTTTAGAATTTGACAACCTATCCGGGTGATTCACTTTACCCATACTGATTCACTTAACGCCGTTTGACGGTAGCTAATGACGCTAATATTTCAAAGAAGCAATAATAAAATTACGAACCTCAAAGTTATTTTGCCTCTCAACAGCTTCTTCATCCGCTGTAGAATTTGTTAAAGGCATATTATGATTGATATCGAGCACGATTCCTATTGTTCCTGAAATGAATCCAATATTTAAGACCTATATAATGCCACATCTATTGTTGCGGGCTTTACCATTTTGAACAGATTTATACTTAGTTTCATACAATCTGTAAGTTTTTGCATGAGCTAAAATCACATGATGAGCACACAAATACTCCACTATTCCTAATGGATATTCTTCAAATGCAGCTGCTAAAAGAAAATCTGGAAGACCTTGACAAAAACTCTTTGGTTCATTTATAGTTGACCACACTTTAACCTGATTGAAAGGATACGTTTTAAATTAACACTAGACATCGTTCGTAGAATAGATTACTTACTCTGTCCCCAAATAAGCTGAAAGCCAAATCAGCATAGTCAACAAAGTAGTCCACCATACTTCTCCCAGTCCATGTACTACCCAAATATTCCAAAGCCAATGGTGTATCCCAATGGTACAACGTAACCATTGGTTCTATTCCAGCTGCTACCAATTCATCCAAAAGATTATTGTAATAATCAACTCCAGCTTGGTTAATTGTGTAATTCAGGCCCTTAGGCAAAATCCTGGACCAAGAAATCGAGAACCGATAATAATCGAGTCCAATTTGCTTAGCAGCTGCCACATCTTCCTTGTATTTATGATAAGAATCGCAAGCCACGTTACCAGTTACGTTCGAGTTGAACAGAGGATACTCATTCATGAACCAATCCCACCAATTGAGTCCTTTTCCATCCTCGTTATAACCACCTTCGATTTGGTAAGCTGCGGTTCCTGCGCCAAATTTGAAGTTTGAGGGAAAGGTGGAGAGATCACATGTTTCTTGGGAACTGGAATATATAAATCAGGAGAATAATGATTTAGTTTTATTTTTTATGAGGTAGGTTATAGATATGCAGCAAGCTCCAAGAGTTGAAATTCAAGAGTGATCATCTTTGGTCACGGTTGCTATGATTTAAAATGAATTGAATACTTATTGTTTATTTTTTTCCATGATAGATTTTGGCATTGTCAACTTTGAAACATAAACAATGCCGCTAATGCCGCTTATTGGTCGCTATTGTAAAACTGGATGTCAACCTGCAGAAACACCTCATTTTGCGACCAATCAGGGTCAAGCGTTATTGTTTATGTTTCAAAGTTTTCAATGTCAAAATCTATCTTGGGAAAAAATAAAGTGTAGATATATATAGAGCAATTAATAGGTAGTTATTTTGATAACCTACCCAGATAACACAATGTGCGTCAATGTGCTCAAAACGTTCCGGCCGACTTTAGAGAAAATAGCATTTCAATGGTAATGTTTCAGAAGTATGTTAAAAGTGCGTATGATAAAACAAACCAAACCAAAGTAAGCTAGCAGCATCGAAGAAATGCTCCTATTTCTACTTTTAAATTGAATGATCTGTAAAGTGCAGGAAAACCACTGTAAAACCGCATTATTTTAGTGTGCGAATTAGCGGTACGCTAACAGCACTTTCTGAACACTTACCAAAGTACCAGAGAGAGTAGAGTCTGCTCTGAGTGCTCCACATGCGCTGCCTGGGTGCCTGCAGTCAGCACTGATTAATTGCAGATTTAGATATATCAAACTGTTAAAAGACCCAATCAACAGCCTCGGAACAGGACTGAAAAACGAAGACGAACTAGGCAACGGAAACGGATAATGAGTATCGGTACATGGAACGTCCAAGGAATCTCTATAAAATTGAATGAAGTGATATCAGAGATAAAATATCAAAAAATGGATCTGCTTGCCGCCACAGAGACCAAAAAGAAAGGACAGGGCTCAGAAAATTTGGGAGAGTACGATCATTTCTTTAGCGGGGTTCAAAAAGAACTCAGAGCGAAGAAAGGAGTCTCGATCTTCATACATAGAAAATGGAGAAAACATATAAAATCATGGGAAGCAGTAAACGAAACCATAATAAAACTAAATGTATGTATGTTCGGAAGGAAAATAACAATCTTGGGAATATATGGAGTGAACGACGACGAACCCGTTAATATAAAGGATCAATTTTACCAACAACTCAGTGACCAAATCATAAAAATAGGAACTTCAAGGGAAATAATTTTGCTGGGAGACTTTAACGGACGAACAGGACGAAAAATCAGCGACAAGGTGATCGGAAAATTCGGAGAGAATGTAACGAATAACAATGGAGAAAGGCTCATAGAAATATGCCAACAAAATAACCTAAAAATCCTAAACGGTTACTTTCAGCATAAAGAAATACATAGGTACACATGGAAAAATGAAACTAGACAACAAAAATCTATTATTGACTACACTATCGCTAAACAGAGCCCGAACATAAAATTCCAGGACGTGAGAGCATATAGGGGAGCGACCTGTGGTAGCGATCATTACCTCCTAAAAACAAAAATCTTTATCCCGGGCAGAAACATCGCAAAAGAAAACGGAATGAAAACCCAAGAAGACAATATTGTGCCTAAGAAATACAACCTAAAATCTCTAGAAGAGCAAAGCGTAAAAGGGTTGTACATGAAGAGATTAGATCAAAAATTACAGAGTAGTATGAGCTTCCAAAACCTTGAAATGCATTACCAACATATCAAAGACAGTATTCACAGTGCAGCATTTGAAGCCCGTGGCAAATATGAAAAAAAGGGAAGTAGGCCCACACCTTATTGGTGGGATCAAGAAATAGAAAAAGATATAGAAGATAAAAGGAAGAAATACCAACAGTATCTAAGTTCAAATAAGACACGAGACAAAGAAATATATAAAGAAGCACAAGCAAGAGTACGGAATAAAATTGTATACAAAAAGAACGAGTCATGGGAAAGAAACTGTGCGCATATTAATACTTATCTGGGGGGTAAAAGAAACACAGAAAGTTGGAGATTACTCAAAAACATGAGAAAAACAAAAACTAAGGATATTATCAATACAATAACACCCCAGCAATGGGAAGAGTACTTTGAAGAATTACTGACAGAACAGCGGGCAGAGTTTAAAGAAGAGAGGGAACAGACACGAAACATAAAAACTGCAGGATCACCAATACGAGTTTTGCAAGAAGAAGTTAAAAAACACTGCGGCTTCTTGAAAAATGGTAGGGCACCAGGCCCAGGAGAAATATATGGAGAACTGATAAAGTGTGGGACCAATAAACTCTACAAACATTTAACAAAACTATTTCAAACATGCATAGATAAACAAGAAGTACCGGAAGAGTGGAAAGTAAGCTATTTAACAACGATATATAAGAAAGGAGACAGAAACAAATGTGAGAACCACCGAGGAATTGCAGTAACAAATACGCTGAGCAGAGTGTATGGAAAACTCATAAAAGCCAGAATAGAGAACGAGTACAAAGATAGTGAGGCAGAAGAACAGGCCGGTTTTAGAGCAGGAAGATCAACTGTAGACCATTTATTCAGTTTGACCCAGGTAATGGAAAAGAAACTAGCCTATAACCAAGAACTCCATTTACTTTTTGTCGATCTAAAGAAAGCATACGACAATGTTCCGCTGAAAAAGCTTTGGGAAACACTGGAAAAGACCAATATCAACTTAGAACTAATAAAGGCAGTAAAAACGCTCTATAGTGATGCAAAGACCAAGATTAAACAGGGAAACTCAATCAGTAAAGGCTTTATAGCAACTAAAGGACTTAAACAGGGATGCTGCATATCACCAACACTTTTTAAAATATACTTAGAACAAGCGCTCAAAGGGTGGAAAAACAAATGCAGACACATGGGAATACCGCTCAATGAATACAATCTTTATACTTTAAGCTTTGCAGATGATCAAGTATTAATTGCACAGGACTATGATGACCTAGAGTACATGACACGAAAATTGATAGAGGAATACGAGAAATGGGGTTTGGAAGTAAATTTAACGAAAACAGAATATATGACTATAGGAGGTGAACAACGAAATCTGAAATTGAATAACGGACAAGAAATAAAACAATGTTCTGAATACAAATATTTGGGCATGAAAATCTCACACGAGGGAACCCTAGACGAAGCAATTAAAGATAGGAATATACAAGGACGCAAGGCAATATCCCTACTAAATGGTGTACTGTGGGATCAAAATATCAACAAAACTAACAAAACGAGAATATACAACACCATAGTCAAAAGCATAGTTACGTATAGTTCAGAAGTCTGGCCACTAAAGATCAGAACCGCAAAAATGCTGGAAGCAACTGAAATGGACTTTTGGAGGAGATCGGCAGGCAGGTCAAAAATGGAGAGGATAACAAATCTGAGAATTAGGGAGATTATGGACGTAAAACACACAATAATAGATGATATAAAGGACAAACAGCTGATTTGGTTCGGACATGTACAAAGAATGGCAGATACAAGAATACCCAAGCAAATAATCGAGTGGAAGCCAGGGGGAAGAAGAAGACGCGGCAGACCAAGAAGAAGCTGGAGAAGTGGTGTAGACGAGGAAATGAAGGACAGAGGCCTAGAAGAGGATGCCTGGATTGACAGAGATGGTTGGAGATCGGGAATCGGAAGACGTAGAACGTTATAAACCGATAATTATATATATAGATATACTCCGATCGTGCAGGTGGGGCACTACAGAGGTGCACCCCCTACCACAGATATCAAATGTGGAAAGGAAAGGGATAAGGAAACGGCAAGAAGCAAGGAAGCCTGAGCCCTGAGCCAAAGCTGCCGGCTGCCCCCATTGTGCCATTTTTAAAGTTTAGAATTTTGGACATTTAGTTTCGTGTTTGGGTTCTTATGCGTGTTTTCGGTTTCACTGGAAGAATAATGAGTTCCAAAGGGTAAGTGAGTAATTATCAAATATTAGTTATGGGTTAATCCAAGCAATTTTGTTCTGTGCTGTATGTGCCGATGTGGTGATTGTAGGTGCTGATGCATGCGTGTTGGGTGACGGGTGTGTTGTGTTTTCACTTTTTAATTAACGAAATTCTGCAAAATCGATTCAATTTTTTTTAGGGTCTTTTAGACAAGATATTGCAAAATAAGTTCATTTTATTAGAGCAACCTTTTCCTCTATAGGTACCCGACGAGGCTGCTAAATTTGAATTCTGTCATTTCGAATTTTAACAACCAAACAATAGGGAACTTGCACATTAAATTAAATATGAAATAAATAATAAAATACGATAACAATCATCCTAATAAATGATGCAATTAGGAAAAGGATATAATACCTTATCTCTGGTTTTCAAAATCTTCAATTGAAAATACCAAATAATTCGAAATTCTTGACGATATCAAAAACGTATTTCTATGGGTCCTGACGTCAAAGGGCAGTAATAATCGGGTCGCACCGCTGCCACGCCATGTGCTGCTGGTGTTGTCAATGTCAAATCTATCATAAACGGCATACATAACAACATAACCATAATCTAAATCTACCTGCTCGCAGGTCCCTGTCAACCAAGGACTGTGAACGGAATTTTGTTGCTGAGTGACGTCACACTAATCGGTCGTTTCAAATGGCGATGTCTCGAGCGTAACTTTTTTTTGCTTGATATTTGGCATGACTATATCTTTAGTGTAGTACAACACATTTTTGAAATAAAAAAAAAATGTGCAAGTTCCCTATTGCGCAGAACTTTTTTATGTGTAGTCGTCCCCAAAACGACTCCGATATGTATGAATCAATAGGCCTTTAATTGCGCAACTTATTTCCTCATCACCCCCTGTACTTTAACAGTTTCCAAAAACCCCATAAAACTCATTTTATTTGGTGCCCTCTGTCTGCCCTCTAAGAGATTTTAATTTAGGTATAATTTCTTTTTTAGGTACCAGAGAAAGCGAGGAAGAATTATTTAGACGAAATTAATATATTTTA